GATGTGAAGCCAAAATTCAATGTCAATCCAGTGGCAATTGCACAGGTGATGTCTGAAGGGCTGAAAAGGCTTTTCATAGCCTTTAGGTGCTTTAATTTACATGGCTGAATTAAGCTGGGGTATTTTTTTACATTGTTTGCAAAAAATAGCCAATAAAACTGACTGAATAATTGTGATATTCACTGCCTGTACAAGGTATTTTCTGCTTTCATGAGGAGTGAGGTGAGACTTCAGGTGCTGGCGCTGACTGGACATGAGTTTGGGCACAATGTCTTTCTGAAAGAAGCAAATACTTATATCCACGTCCTGTAAAAAGATGTTTTACTCTTGTGCTTCCATCACACTAAAATGAAGGTACTAAAGGAATAGCTGAAGCAAAATTTCAGGTTTTAGTGTTTTTTTTTCCTGAGACCCAAAACCCTAGCATAAAAGGCTTCCTTATCAAAAGAAGCTTACCAAGTGTTGCACTCTGATATAAGTAACATGTTGATTAAATCTCTCTCATCTGCACTTCTAAGACAGCCTTATTTGTACAAATACACAGTCACTCATCATATTGTCTGACATGATCTTGCCTTCCTTTCAGCCTGTTTCTGGCAGTGCTTACTAATTTTAGTCCTAAAGCACCGTATGTAAGTCCTAGTATCAAAAGTGATCTCTCCGGGTCTGAGCTGGGTGACATGAGTTGATAATCTGAACAGCACGCGCACACAAAAATCTCTCTTTAAGCCAAGACAAAGCTTTGGGGCTTAACTGTGTCCCTTCTGGAGCCTGGTAAGATGCTATTTATGACTGGGACTCAGAAAACCTGTCTGTTTGACCATGGTTTGAACTTGCTTAGTTATATGATGTGGAAGAAACAGCCATGAAGACATTGTGTCTGTTATGTTCAGGTAGGATGTGCATAGATGGAACAGAGATGATGTTTGGAGATGGAACAGAGATTTGAGTTTGAATTATGAAAATAGCAGTTAAATTTGTAGAACCATAGAATCATCAAGGCTGGAAAAGACCTCTAAGATCATGGAGTCCAACCATTAATCTGCCACAAAGTCCTTTATAAGGCAGGTCCTTATAAGTCCTTCCTGAGCCCCAAGTATCTATCTCAGATTACATTTCCTGACAGTCAAATTGTCTTTTTGCTGTGTAATGTGGCATTTTTCTGGTGTCTACAGCTGACATAGAAGCTGCAGTCCCTGGGTTTTAATCTTGCCGGTGATTTTGTATAGTCAGGGATCCATCCTTGAGCCATCCTGGTGTGCAACTGTTATTTTCCTGATTTTAGGAACCAAACTACCTGTGGTAGATGTAGACTTGGACATTTCTTTCACCTGGACTGCTGCTGCTGTGGTCTTACCATGGTAGGCTGTGTCCTTCGCCCAAGTTGGGTCCTCTTTAAGGTGTTGAGGTAGTTCTTAGAGGTGTCCTAGAAGGTCTTCTGCTGGGTTGAGCCCCTTGTCATTCTAGCTGTGCTTCAGCTTTCTGTGTTGGGCAGTTCTGCATGGGAACATGCTGAGAATGTGTTTTGCCCCAGTGATACCACCCTGGAGTAATAAATACAATTTATTTTGTCTCTCTGCCTAGTTCTGCTGGAGCTAAAAGTCCGTGTGGTGCCATTCCCATGGTGGGAAGGATTTAGGGAGGTATTTCTCTCCTCAGCTCAGAAATGGCTCCAGGGATGCTCTCCAAGTTCTGTCCTCACTTATTCTGGTAGAGGATGGAGAGTAACCCCTGAAATACACATCTTCTGATAGCAGATTTGTTTTGTGGTCCATCAGGTTGTCAGCTACAACATGAACATAGAAGGACAGTGGGAAAGGCCACCCTGGAGGCATTTCTCCCACAGCCACTACAACCCCCTCAATGTCACAGTGAACGGGATCCCCTGCATCCTCTTCTGGGCCAAGAGGATCATGATCAAGTTTGAAAACCACACACAGCTGGACTTGACAGAGAAGACATTTGGTGTCCATGCCACGGTGGATGTTGGAGATTCCAACTGCAGTGAAGACAGTGCCATGTAAGGTGAAATTATACTCTGCCGGTGGAACTGGTGTCAGATAGCAAGTCTAGGAAGTATATCCTGAAGGAAAAGAGACCTTGTAGAACCCCAGGAGCAATCTCCTTCTTATAATGTCCTTCCAGAGCAGGCAGCAGGGGCTATATACTTTTAAACCAGCCTTTCATGAGGCACACTGATGTACTTAAATGACTTCATGGCACGGTGTAGTCACTCCTTGGGGCCAACCAGCTTTGCTCTTAGTGCTTGTGAGGCTGAAGCTGTTGATCTGTTTGTTCTCCAGCTGTTTTACACAGACGCTTGGGAGGCTGAAGAGTGGATCCTGTCCTGAGCACGTGGCCCAGGGGCTGTGCATGACTACTTATCCCTTTGTAGGGTGTGTGCCAGCAGTACTGCACCAGTTGCAGGTCTGTATAGGTCACCCCAAGTCTCAGGGTGTGATCTATGAGTTGCTGAAGCCACAGAGTGAATTCACTACAGGTTTGCATGTGGCACAAGAGTGTCTGAAAACCTGAACTCCATGTACCAATCTGTCATTAATTTCTTCAGCATCAACAGCATTTAGCAGCTATGCTGCTGCTCACCCTGAATGAGAGCTACACATTAACCTCACTCCACTCAAAATGCTCTGTGGCTATGCTAGAAAGGCTTGTGATGCTTTATATTCCCTTTGTGTGCTGCCTGGCCTCAGGGTTGGTACCAGATTCCACTCTGATGGGCCTAAAACTTGGGAAGTAGGTTCCTAATTGGGCATGTGCCGAATGTGAGCACTGAGTCTACCCCATAAAAGGAGTTTAAATCTGTAATGACATACACAACAAGATAAATAACGTGGCCATTAGCTCCTGTACAACATTGCACCTGCACATCTTAAGATATTTACACAGAAAGCAGGTGTTGCCTCTTTCTGGCTACACAGCTGTGAAGGAAAACACAACATGCACAGGCATTTTGGTGATGTTTCAAGAAATCTAGAAGTAAGATAGAAAAAGAAGACAGGCTTTTGCCTGTAGTATCATAGAATTAATCCAGTGGTGGTTTGACAGAGGGAGGGAGAGAACAGAGTAATGTTACCTTAAAAAGAGTAGTAACAAACATTCCTTCCTCTCTTCTGATCTATAATTCAGAAATGAGCTTAGTCTGATTAGTAATTAACCTAAAACATAATAATGCAAAATTAAGGGTCTCAGAACACAAGTTATGGTTTTATAGTTGCTCATAAGGCTTGAGAAATCAGAAAGACAATGTTGTGGTGGTCTTAAAACTCCTTCTGGAGCTGCTATTTGGACAGTGTTGGACAAGTAGGTTTCTCTGTGTGTCACAGGTACCTCTGTAGTCTTATAGCTGTAGATTAGTAAGAGTAATAATAAGAGTAATAATTATTGTAGAGGCTTCATTTTGTAAGTACAGATTTCTAAGGAATTAGGACTTGTCATGACTCTGACTGGGAGGAAGGTATTTCCCTTGAGTTTTGGGTCTGTGGCTGATAATATACTGTTGCTTTGGCTCTTGCTGAGCAGTTTCTGCACTGTGTCCAGGTTTCTATGCCTGTCCTTCTGCCTTCACAGAGACTAGACAGAGGTTGGCCAGTAGCTGGGAGGGGACAATGCTTGGACAGCCAAAGTCATGTCTCCTGCCATATAAAGTCATAGTCAGCAATAAAAACTGAAGGAAGAAGAACTGTGTAGAGTTTGTGTCTCACGGTGTGCTCATTGCTCAGAGAGCTGCTGGGCATCATCCTGTTGTGGGAGATGGTCAGTGACTGCCCTTGCAAAACTTGGGTCTTTTTTTCTGACTCTTTCTTTCCTTCTTAAACTCTATCTTTAACCATGAGTTCTCTTTTGCTTTTCCTATTCTCTCCCATGTCCTGCTGTGAAGGTGCCATGGGTCTTAGCTGCTGGATGGGGTACAAACACAGGGCTGGAATTCTGCTTGATGCATTATGTTGGAAGATACTTCACAATTTATGGGACATAGAATCATAGAATCACAGAACCATCAAGGTTGGAGGAGACCTCTAAGTTCATCAAGTCCAACCGTAGATCAACCCAGTTCAACAGATTCATTATAAAAGCTGCAGGAAGAGTCAGGAAACAAAATCTACTCCACAGCATACACTTGACATGCCTTTTATCAGTGTTTCACCATGTGGCTGGATCTCAGAATCTGTGGGTCAAGCGCCATTTATCTGCCAAGTTTTCTGATCTTTCTCCTTGTTCCTCTCAGAGTTTTCTGAGTGTCCTCAACCTAGCAATACACCTGCTCAAGGCTTTGATGCTTCCTAGGAAGCTGAGGGTAGATTTTCTGTCAGCCTTGCATTTGCTTATAGCAGAGGAAGGGGAAAACCTTGCTTGAATGCTGCTCTGTAATCTCGGGTCTGAGGACTGACCTAAATAAAGCCATTTAATGGCTGAGTGCTCACACGATGGATTGTTTTTCTCACACCAGAGAAATCCCTCAAAATTCTCCCTTCTCCAGCCTTCTTTGCTAAGACAACACTCTGTGTTGTCCTTCAGTCTGGTTTATACTGTCTAATCAGTGCAAAGTAGCTGAAGCCAAGAATATTAGACATCAAATACATATTCATGTAGTATATGAATAATAATCCAATATAATAATCCAACCTGCATCTTTTTTGTAGTTGAATGTCAGATTTGCCTGTGGCTAATCCTCAACTGTCAATGATTTATTTTCCTTTGTAATAAAGCAACAGATAGTCTGAATTCAGTGTCCTGGTTTATTGGACCAGTGTTAGTCAAGGTACAAGAAGTCTAGATCTCCTAGTCTAGCTCTTCTAGTGTAGATTTTATCTTATGTAGTCTCAATCATAGGCCTGGGTGGTTTTTATTGTGAAAATTACTCTTCAGCTTTAATTCTGGATGTCTTTCAGATGCTGGATGTGTTCCCTATGTTTTGCTTCTGACTTAGTCTGGAAAGGTTATGTGGACAATAAGAATCTGTGCAGGTTTTAAGAGGCAAAACACTATTGTTAAGTGGTAAAAATATCATGTAGTGCTGCAGTGCATTCATTAACCTCATAGGGCTTTTCACTTTAGGGAACTTCATGTGCCCATGGCCACTCCAGGTGAGCTTTGTAGAGCTCAGTCAGGATATTTATGTGTCTCTAATGCTGCACGTGAGTGAAGGTTGAACTCAGGTGACATCAGCATTTTTTATGCTCTGTTGTTCGAAAAGATGAGAATGATGTGTCTGTTTACACTTTCTAATGCCACACAAAGGTGATACTTGACTGAGATGTGGTGGCCTGAGGAGGATAAGAGATCAATGAACTTAATTATCAGCTGATGTGGGAATTGTGTTAGAAGTTAAATATGAATTTTTGCTCTTTCTGGATACTCTGTGCCTCATTCCAGATAACAGGTGAACCAGTGGATTTCACTGGAGGAAGATTTAATCCTTCCATGTTTTTTGCCCACTGACTTTAGGTGCATAACTGGGCAAAAGGCTCCATGTATGACTGAGCTTAATCTTTTGGGCTGCTTTTTTCTCCTAAGAATTTTTTCCTATCCTGAAGTTATTTGCTTTTCTGGCCTAGGCTTTCTCTGAAGTTTGGGGATATTGGCAGCCTAAAGGGACTTGTTATCAGGTAAGTTTGCATAATAAACCAAAACCCAGATAACATGTTAATATTTATTGTTACGCAGTTGCTTGTGTACTTACAGAGAATTTGTTTAAGCAAAAATAATGGGATAGAAACTGTTGATTGTACAATTGAGACAACTGCATTCAATATGTCTAACATTTTCCTGCCCTGCTTTATTAAGCCATTTGTTCTTCTACATTGACTGTTTAATTCAGGGGAAAAGTTTGGGTCATCTCTTTTGCATAGAATCTGAGATGTTGGCTAAACCTTGCTAATTAATTAAATTTTCACCTAGGAATTTTGCCTCAAGAACTGATAGCTTGTGCTGCTCAGGTATCAGGATGTCACTCACTTTATGTCTGCTTCTTGGTGATAGCAGAAAAAAATGTTTATTGCCAATTAATTTTCCATGTCTTGGATGGAAGTACTTTACCAATGTTGCATATAGATATATGTGTGTCAGTCATTCAGGCAAAATCCCTCACATTCCTCTTACTGTGATGGGAGAACAGCAAAACTCCTTCAACTGCAACAATATACAACTTTCAGTCACAGTCAGAGAATCACAGAGTCACAGAATAGTTGAGGTTGGAAAGGACCTTTGGAGACCATCTAGTCCAACCCCCTTCCAAGACAGGGTCACCTAGACTCCACACCTTCCCTGGGCAGTTGTCCCAGTGCTCTGCCACCTCCATGGAAAGAAGTTCTTCCTCACTTCCCAGACTCAGTGGAAGGAGCTAGAGCTCACACTGATATAAATGTATTAAATGGGTAACAATGGGCACAATGAACATCAAATCCCAGAATCCCGGAATCCTAGACTAGTTGGGTTTGGAAGGGGCCTCTGGTGATCATCCAGTCCAACCCTCTCCTGTGTCACCTAGAGCAGGTGACACAGGAACATGTCCAGGTGGGTTTGTAATGTCTCTAGAGATGGAGACTCCGCATACTCCCTTGGCAGTTGTCCCAGAGGTCTGCTACCTCCATGGAAAGAAGTTCTTCCTTTTTCAGACTCAGTGAAAGGAGCTAGATATAAATGGATGAAACTGGAAATGCCAATGAGTTTTCTATATTGCTGAACGTCTGAATTTGGTAGTTGTAAATCTCAGACTTATTTTCTTCCTCATCTTTCCTCCCATATGATGTTTTCAGGCTCTTGTTAACAACCAGCTATTACCACCTGTCTGTTCAGAACTGGTTCAGCCTGCACAGGCTGCAGCTTCTCTACAACCACTCAGTGCAAGCAACCTTCAATGCCACCAGGATCCACGCGCCAGCAAGTTACTCCTACCACTGCAAGCACGTGAGCAGCCTGCAGAGATATGATGCGTTGCTCATACCCAGCTCTGCAAATGACCTCTCAGAGCTTTGGGAAGTCACTTTTATTGATTTCCAGGTAATGTGATGCAGGTAATGAGTGCACCCTCAGCAAGTTCGCTGACCACACCAAGTGTGTGAGATAGTCACAGCTGGAGGGAAGGGATGGG